AGTATGGGGGCCTCTACTATTTTGATGCAGACATCGGCTCAGCCCTACAAGCTTCTGCTACTACTAGTCCGGAAAGTGTGGAGTCAATAGCTAGGTTGCATCTGTGGCATGTAGACCTGTTCATGGGTCAGGCCGGGCCGGGCTCGGGCCGGGCTTTTACTGTGTATTAACAAATTGTTTTAAGGCCCGAGCCTGAGCCGGAGCCTGGCCCGACCATCGGGCCTACAATTTGGGCCCGAGCCCAGCCCTCATAAAAAGCCCGAAGCTCGAGCCTGGGCCCGGGCCCGAAATTTAGCCTATATGATTATTATTATTAATGTTGAAGCAGCTGAATAAAGAGAAAGATAGATTGAAATTATAAAGAAAAGAATAAAATATATATATNCCGAGGTCAGGCCCGCGGGCCTAATTATATGACCAAGCCCGGCCGGGTGCGGGTCGGGCCGGGCCGGGCCGTCGGGCTACCCGGCCCATGAATAGGTCTAGTGGCATGGTAGGCTAGGTCATGTGTCTTTCTCTTCTTTAGCAATGTTGTTTCCCGAATTATTTTAAAGAATTCCAAGTCAAAGTTTAATTTGTGATGTGTGTCAAATGTCAAAACAATGTAGAACAATGTATCCAGTTTCTAGTAATGAAATTCGTGCTCCTTTTGAGTTGGTTCATTCGGATGTTTGGGGACCTTCACCCATTGTTTCCATTGATGGATTTCGTTACTTTATCAGTTTTATTGACCATTATTCCCGGTGCACTTGGATTTATCTGTTAAAAGGACGTGATGAAGTTCCACGGATAACCATGATTTTTTGCAAGATTATTGAAACACAATTTGAGAAGAAGATTAAGCAATTCCGGTCAGACAATGCAGCTGAATACTTTGAAAGATCCCTRAACTCATTCATGGAAGATGCAGGCATGTTACACCAATCATCATGTGCTTATACCCCTCAGCAAAATGGGGTTGTTGAGCGCAAGAACAAGCACCTATTGGAGACAGCTCGAGCCCTACTTTTCCAGCACCAAGTGCCCAAGCAATATTGGTCTCAAGCTATACTCACTGCATCATACCTGATAAATCGGATGTCATCTAAGGTATTGGGTATGAAGACTCCTTTCTCTGTTTTGTGTTCCACCCTTCCAGAGCTTCCTCTTCCTCCATGGGTTTTTGGCTGTACATGCTTCATACATATGAAGGATCCAAAAAAAAACCAAGCTGGATCCCAAGACTACGAAGGGAATATTTTTGGGGTACTCTCCTACACAAAAGGGGTATAAGTGTTATGATCCTGTCTCCAAGAAAAAATATGTCACTAGAGATGTAGTCTTTTTTGAGTCTCAACCCTATTTCCAATCTTCTCAGAATCCTCTTCAGGAGGAGACTAGTGGGTTGGAAGAGGATTCTCATTCTCCCTTCTTTTTTGTTCCCCTTTCATCACCTTCCACTACTCCTAGCTATGACATTCCGGATCAACCTAGTGTGGCTCCCACTGTGCCAGTTACTTCTCCTGATATAGCAGATGCTCATGATGGTTCCTATAGGCAAGAGAAAGAGATACTTACATACAGCAGAAGGAAGAAGGGCCCTCAACCTCATGATTGCAACCAGTTGAACTCAGATCAATCTGTCTCTGCAATCCAAGGTAACTCTGACTGTCTCACTTCAGGGATCTTCCTATTGCTCTCCGTAAGCCTGTTTGCTCTTGTACCACCCGGCATCCCATAGCTGATTTTGTCTCTTACTCACACTTATCTCCTGCCTATCACTCCTTTGTGTCTGCTATTTCCTTTGTATGTGTCCCTTCCAGGTACTCAGAGGCGGCATCTGATCCAAGGTGGAAAGAAGCCATGAATGAAAAGATGAAAGCCCTAATGAAAGCAAGAACGTGGGAATTGGTGGACCTGCCAGAGGGGAAATGCACTGTTGGGTGCAAGTGGGTATTCATAGTAAAGCACAGGGAAGATGGGTCAATCGAGAGGTACAAGGCCCGACTTGTGGCAAAGGCATTTACACAAAAGGAAGGAATTGACTACAAGGAAACCTTTGCTCCAATAGCAAAGCTCAACACAATCAGGGTTCTACTGCAGCAAATTTCTCTTGGGAACTCCATCAGCTGGATGTGAAGAATTCCTTCCTAAATGATGATCTTCATGAAGAGATATTCATGGAACCTCCACCTGGCTATGATGTTGGAAAGAAGGTGAGTAAATTAAGGAAAGCATTGTATGGTTTGAAGCAGTCTCCCCGGGCATGGTTTGAGAGACTTTGTATGGCCATGAAGAAAGTGGGGTACACTCAGAGCAGTGCAGATCATACATTGTTTAAAAGGAGAGGATAACAAACTTACGGCTCTCATTGTTTATGTGGATGATATGGTGATTACTGTAAATGATGTGGAAGAGATGAAGAGGCTGAAGGAGTTCTTAGCTTCAGAATTTGAGATCAAAGACCTGGGAAATCTGAGATATTTTCTTGGGATTGAAGTTGCTAGATCAAGAGAAGGAATCTACATATGTCGGCGAAAATATGTGCTAGATCTCCTAGAGGAAACA